CAAGCTGGCTGTGGGAATTGTGCACCCAACATATTTTGAGATTGGGGAAGATTGCTCAAGACGAAGAATTAAAAGAATTCAAACTTGACAGAAGATTCTCCCCAAGAAAGATACATGGATAATAAGCATCCCATTAGTTCTTGACAGATAGTCATCATTTTCATTATTTTCTGCAATGCACCCTTCAGACGATTCCAAACAAATCCTTGCAGGAAAATACTACCATCATGCTGTCTAATTTGTATTTAGGCACAAGTAAAATTGTGCTGAAGTGATTATTCCTGGGCTTCCTTGCGAGCCAATTTGTAAACCTGGGTTGGTCCATCCACATGAGTGATAGTAGTAGTGAGCTGAAGTTCTTCTCCAGTATTAACTCCCAAATCACCTGAAAACACAAAATTGCATTTGAGATGATGCGTTATCATGATGATAGTTTTATTGCAAAATTACCCCAGCATTTATAAAGTAAGCAATGGAGAAGTTTCATGAATAGACATGGTTTCCACTAATAAAATGGGGGAATGGCCTATTTCTCCACTTTGTGCATGCATTCACATATTTGTTCAGTAACAGTATCTTCTTTTTAACAAGCAGAGCTCTGTGTGTGTGTGTGTGTGTGTGTTTAAGCACACAAATGGAAATGAACATAACTATTGTGCAATAGGACCTTTTTAAAATTAAAAATAAATATTGTGCAGTAGGACTTGCATTTAATAAGTGTGTATAAATCTCAGGAGATAAAGAATCTGAGAATAATCTTTCAATTAATTCAGGATCTAGTACAAGATTTACTTTGATTCAGGATTGTGCAACAAGCTGTTACAGATCGGCTGAACTGTGTATAATCAAAATGGGAAAAAATCAATCCTCAGATCTAGAAATCTCTTTTCCATTCCTTCCTTAGTATATATTTTCACAATCTAAACTTCCTTTAACTTTTTCAGAAAGCCCTTCTTACTGTTCTCTCAGGCCCAGGGGTCAGGAGATTAGCTGAACCTATGAAGTTATCTATGTTACTTTTTGCTTTTTTATGATTACATTTATTATTATATTGTTTGCTGCTCAGACCACGCAAATGGCTGGCCATATCAATCCAATCAAATTAACCACACTAACTCAGGGTATTTATTAGCAGTTAAAACCCATAATCAACAGAACTATGCGTACAATGCTAGGGATCTAATTGACTGATTCGTTGTACTACAATACAATTGAATCACAACTGCAGGAAACTGCATCTCACCATTTGACTCATCTTCACCGTACTTTTTATGGGAAGGTGCATACAGGAACATCAGGGCAAAGACATAAAGGTTCCACATTCCATAAATCCCTGTGAAAAAGGCACTGTTCCAATGAAATGTAAAGTCGCCCCATTTCCAGTGACCTTCAGTCACCTAAACAGGATGAAAAGTTGATATATAAGCCAGCAGTGAAGACATAAGCGTAAAGTTAGCACAGACGGACAATCAACAAACAAAGTCAATGATTTTCATCTCCGATAGAGGGACTTCTTCATCCTCCAAAACATCTATTTCTGACCTTCACTCCACTGCATGGCTTTAACGGGCTGCTCTCCCTATCTGCAGTGAGCCGACAACAAGAAAAGCAGCTGGGTTTAATGTTAAATCAGGGAAAGAGATCTGTGACGCTTCCTCTTTTCCCCCCGTTATGAAATAAAGCTATGAAAAGATCCTTTGTTGACAACATTGCTTCAAGATATAAAAAACAAAATAGCAGAACGCATTACTACCAGATAGCAATAATTGTAGAAATTTTCCGTAGTCATTTTAGATTTCTCACCTGACTGAAAATGAAAAATATTACTGTCATGGCAGCACAAGCTAATGTGATCAGCATCAAGAATTTGAACCGAAAAATCAGTCCCTGTGAGAGAAGCAAATATAATCAGGGGGGGAGAGAGAAACAACAAAAAATACTGAAATATTCCAAATAGAAGATTCTGAAGAAGAAAATCCTATATTTATTTATTTATTTATTTATTTATTTTCATTAACTTATATGCCGCCCTTCTCCCCATGGGACTCAGGGCGGCTCACAGCATGTTAAAACAATATAAAACATTATCCCCTATAAAAACCAATTAAAAACCAAATATTTATAGCTGTGTCTTATTAAAATCATTAAAACTGTCCCTATTTAAAATTCACCCTAGGTCAGACCCGCTTGCTGAAAAAGCCATGTCTTGAGGGCGCGGCGGAAAGTTAGGAGATCCGGGATCGTCCGGATCTCGGGGGGTAGTTCGTTCCAGAGGGTGGGGGCACCCACAGAGAAGGCCCTCCCCCTGGGGGTCGCCAGCTGACATTGCTTGGCCGATGGCACCCTGAGGAGGCCCGCTCTGTGGGAGCGTACCGGTCTGTGGGAGGGAATCTGTGGCAGAAGACGGTCTCGGAGGTATCCAGGTCCGATGCCATGGAGCGCTTTAAAGGTGGTAACTAACACCTTAAAGCGTACCCGGAAGGCCACTGGCAACCAGTGCAGCTCGCGCAGCAGCGGCGTTACATGGGAGCGACGCGTCGCTCCCAACACCGCCCGCGCGGCCGCATTCTGGACCAGCTGAAGCCTCCGGATGCTCCTCATGG